ATATATATATATATATATTATATATATGCAACGCGGAAGGACAAGTTATAACGTATTAAACGAGCAATCTCGATAAAATTGGGATATAAATAGACAAAACAGTCGTTTTAATAATCCCTTGGTCGATCCAACAAATAAAACATAATTTAACGTACCGAGTTATGTAAATAAAATGTATGTGTGTGTGGGGGGGAGGGGTACGCGTTATAAATATCCATGCTCACCTCATCGGACATGTTTTTAAGATATGCCTGGACATTGTTGGCCAAGTTGCTGCTTTGCTCTTTGATGGTATTGAGAAACTCCTCTTGGTTGGGCAAGTTTAACTGCTGCTGAAGCTGAGCGCCCAAGTTGTTGATGACATTTTGGGCTTCCTTGATGTGGTCGGACAATTGAAGAGGTTGCGTGCCAGTTTGCTGATTCTCGACATCGCTAGCTGGCACAACCTTGCCCTCTACCGCGACCAAGAGAACAGCTAAGATAACCACGGGTAAGCACCTCATCTCACGCTAGTGTTTTCTCCTTGGTCGATTAGGAAACGACTGATGCGTAGGATGGAGGATCACACTCCCTTTTATAAGCGTTTCTTATCTAAGAGGGCAAAGTGCTTATTATCTCATTTTGACGACAACGACCTGCGTTTCATTCGCTGCATAGAAGGACGCTGTGCATGTATTTGAATATTTTAAATCTACATCTGTTTCAAGATGCTAGTCATTCCCGGAAACCAGAAAAGTAATCGTTTTAAATCTTTGAAAATTTATAATTACGTTTCTAAAATGTTGCTCGAATACAAATAATGATGAATGAATGAAAAAGAAACGAAGCTTATTGCTACACAGTTGTCGCGTGCTACTTATTTATTTTATCATATTACATTATTATTATACTTATAATTAGTGATATATCAAACTATTTTTCCATGGAAACAATTTTACAATTCTTGTGTGTGTGTGTGTGTGTGTGTGTGTGTGTGTGTGTGTGTGTGTGTGTGTGTGTGTTAATTTATGTTCTTATTTATTAAAAATTACGTTAGATGTTTATTTAATTGGATAAATAAATTATTATTATATTATTTATTTATTTATTTAATACAAGAAATAACACACGACAAATTATAATTAATTTTTCTTTACTAAATACGCGTGATTTAACCAATTTTTCATTTACAGTCATTGCTATAAAGTATATAAAGTAAATAAGTACTTAATTTTTATAAATATCTTGTTAGAATTTTATATGAATTACGTTGTTACTTGAAATATTTATACCATCTTAACACTTTTAATTTGTGATTTTAATACTAAAATAAATTATTATCTTTAGCTTACGTTAAATTTTACTATTTTCCAAAAGTTACGTAAATCAATCGTTTTCGCAGTATCTCTAATTATATTTCCAAATCAAGCTAGATCCTTTATCTACTATAGGAACGCAGTGAAATGTAAAATGATTAGTAGCACGTATAAATAAAATCAAATTAATAGCATGGCATAAGACAACTGTATAGCACGTCCAAAATTGTTGACTCGCTGATATAATTTTACGATCCAATAAAAATTCGATAATCATTAATAAGAATTGGGCAACAAAAATTTCCAGTTAAAATCAGCCTATAAACATAACGCTATTCTTATAGTTTCTTCTAGAAAGACACGGGTTTTTTCTACAAATTTATGATACATAGAGATATATCTTACCAGGGGAATGCTTTTGTACACTGAGATTTATAATAATTTATAAGCAGAAAGAAACCTTCTGGAAGGAAATATCATATTCTAGATAAGCATTCCGGCCTTCTGACGCAGATTATAATCTCTTTACATTCTATTTTAAAGAAAGTTTATAGAAGATTGCTTCTAAAACCAATTTTACTTATTAATAAAGAATATATAATTTAATCTAATTGTCTAATATCTTATTTTGCAAGCAATTAAGCGACTTTTCCGTTATTTTAAATACAGTTTATAGTGAGCTTTATAACACGCATTCTAAATGAATCAATTCGGATGAACAGGTCAAAGTTCAAGGCGAGATTGCTATTATCAATTTTAACTGCCATCCATTCCTCCCTCTGCGAAACGTTACATCAGCCGGATAAAGATATATTCTAGACGGACATGTACATGTATATACATATATTCACACACCCGAATTGCTGACTTCGCGATGACGTTCGGCTCACTTTTTCAGAGCGCGGGGCAGAGATTATAAACTTTTCCAAACGATGTTTATTCGATATGTATTTAAGCTTATATATACAAGTTGAATATCAAAATGAATTAATGAGTATCTCGATTATTGCAAACATATTCTATTTTTTTTATAAGATAATAAATTAAAGAGAATTAACTCTAATCAAGTTTTAAATAATCGCGTAATTAAAAAATGATTTGGAAATGCAAATTTCATTCCATTTTTTTTTTCTATTAAAATGTAATTCTCTCTCTCTCTCTCTCTCTCTCTCTCTCTCTCTCTC